TCCTATGGCTTGATACTGGCGTAACTTTCATTTCGTTTGAGAAGGGAGATTGGAAGGGACTCGTAGATTGGCCTCATCTGATATCGCAAGAAGGTTGCCTTGGACTGTTATCTCTTTAATTGTGTGAAGAAGACCTTTGCTCACCGTCCTACGACCCCGTGCTGAGGTTCCGTCCGTCATGTGCTTTTGTAGTGATTTTTTCGTAAATACTAATTGTTGGCTCTTACGATGTCACGAAAAAATCACCCAAAACACACATGATGGACGGAACCTCAGCCCGAAATCATCGGGGTCGTAGGGTGGGAGCCGAGTTCTTCTTCGCACTAATCAGCAGACAAAAGTCCAAGGCAACCTTTTTGTGGTATGAGATGAGGTCAATCTACGAGTCCCTTCCAATCTCCCTTCTCAAACGAAATGAAAGTTACGCCAGTATCAAGCCATAGGATATCCAACCAAAGCCTAAGATGCGTCATTAACATGATCAAGTTGGACTATAAGAAGTATGTAGATTTGAAGCCTTTCCTGGATTTGTGTTTCGGCGTCCTGCTCTGACGATTTCCGTCACATGAAGGACGAAAGCACGGAAAGGATTCCTCGAGGTCTCAGGGCGGTTCATCGAGGTCCTATTCCCACAAATCTACACTCACAGCTCTAAGACAATCCTCCTACAGCTTCAGGTGAGACAAACTTACGAAGCTCTTCCACCCGTCTCTTCAGACGGACATGCTGACATTAATTCTATATACGAAAAAAAGTTGGGTTTCGAGGAATCTCTTGCTTCATAATTGTTGGGCTTACTTCCATTTCGAGTAGAGGTGTTTGGTGAAGAGATTCGAAAGTCGGTTCCACCAAAAGACGACGGCGAATTCCTCTTTACCAGCTGTCGATTGGCTTTACTGGAAGATTCATGTGACGCTGTTTCCGAGGCAATCTCCTTCGATTCCGGTGAAAACGTGCTAAGCTTTCGTCCGTCATATGACGGACGAAAGCTCAGCACCTGTTTCCGAGGCAATCTCCTTCGATTCCGGTGAACCCGTGCTGAGCTTTC